CACAAAACCCCGACAATATGTGCCAGGCACTTAAAAACAAAGCTTCTAAGAAAGTTTGGTCAAAATCCGTTGAGAAATGTACGAGGAGTTGAGCACAGAAGAAATTGTTCTCTATATATTCTGTATAAGGAAAAAATATACAAAGGGCCATAATTCGGTCAAATATTATCCAATCACAAAACCCCGACAATATGTGCCAGGCACTTGATAACAAAGCTTCTAAGAAAGTTTGGTCAAAATCCGTTGAGAAATGTAGGAGGAGTTGCGCACAGAAGAAATTGTTCACTATATATTCTATATAAGGAAAAAAAACAAAGGGCCATAATTAGGTCAAATATATACCAATTGCAAAACCCTGGCAATATGTGTCAGGGCACTTGATGACAAAGCTTCTGAGAAAGTTTGGTCAAAATCCGTTGAGAAATGTAGGAGGAGTTGCGCACAGAAGAAATTGTTCACTATATATTTTATATAAGGAAAAAAAACAAAGGGCCATAATTAGGTCAAATATTATCTAATCGCAAAACCCCGACAATATGCGCCAGGGCACTTGATGACAAAGCTTCTGTGAAAGTTTGGTCAAAATCCGTTGAGAAATGTAGGAGGAGTTGCGCACAGAAGAAATTGTTTACGCCCGCCCGCCCGCCGACATACCTCAATCTAATAACCAGTTTTTTCCTTCGGAAAACCTGGTTAAAAATGAAACCACAAGGATCACACCCATGTAAAAGAAATTGTATCGCATGCAAACATATCAGCAGTAAATCATATGTTAAAATTCATTCAACAGGAAAATACTTTCATATCAAAGGCACATATGACTGTAATTCATCCAGTTTAATCTATTTAATAACATGCAACAAATGTGGAATACAATATGTAGGACAAACCGGCAATACTATAAAAGAACGTCTATATGGCCATTTCGCAGACATAAAAAATGCCAACAATTATAAACCCGTTTCCCGCCATTACACAACACACGAACACAACGTTAATGACGTCGACGTAACTATGTTATTATCAACACCTAAGAACGTCAACATCCGCCTCAGAACTGAAGAAACACTTATATCAATATTTAAAACACGATCACCATCCGGACTTAACTTAATACAGTAATAATGGACATTCAAAGTAATTTACAGAAACAACAGTTAACAGCTAACAACGAACACTTCATTGAAATATCCAAAAAACTACGACAATGTAAAACCTGCAACAAATTTCTGAAAGGATCTAAAAGTAACTTCAACCGACACTTTAAAATTCACCAAGACACGAAATTACGATTTATATGCTACATCTGCAACAACTCTTTTAGCCGACGTGAACACCTCCAGAAACACAGCAATACGATACACAAACAACCACTAAAACGATACCTCACCAAATTAGAGAAAAAACACGACAACATTGAAATAAAACCTATCAAACCTTGGAAAAAACCTTTTGAAGCAACCACCATACCAAAATTCGGTATAATACCCGGCGTAAAATCATGGCTACAGAATACACCAAAATCAACAACGGACGAAATTTTAAAAGAAATGATAATAGATCCGGAATTATCCCCACTTCAACTGTCCCCCTTTAGAAGTAACAACCCGTTGCCGTGGAGCAGCCACACAAGCACATCAACCAATTGCCAGGATGAAAAAGGAACACTGAATGACGTTAATATAAACATTTATTCCATTTACGGTATTTTTTCTTAAAAGCATACAGCTAAATATAGATTATGGGGTAAACCCAAAATGACATAATTTAAACTATTTTTAGAACAATTCACGTGACGTAAAGTAAACCCGATTTTTGTACGTTAGACAATGATTTTTCTATTATTCTGATATTTTATAACCCTGATGAAGACTCGTGAGAGTCGAAAAGTCGGTTATCATCATTAAATAAACCTTAAAACCTATCCTGTGTTGATTGTTTGTTCCACTTTTATTGTTTTTCTTGTAATATATTGATAATTAGGTTTCATATAAGGACACCTGGTTCCATACATCGCTACTTTGGTTCCATATATTGAATATTTGGTATCATATATTGTGATAATCAAATTATATATTGATACTTCGGCTCCATACATTGATAAATTGGTTTCATATATTGTAACAAGAGCACCGCTAGGCGGAGCATTATATGCCCGAAAGTGTTCTTTTTTTATATAAAGGATGAAGCATTTGTAAGACATTTCATAAATTAAATAAAGTATTACCTCCTTCCAATAGCAATCCTCCTATAAAGATTGAATATTGTGGGCCAAATAGAAATTAAGTTATGCTCCAGTAACTGTTTTCAGTTTTAAAGTAATAGTGACCATGACCTTTGACCTTGTGACCCCAAAATCAATAGGGGTATTCTACCTAATATGGACAATCATCCTATGAAGTTTTAATATTGTAGGCCAAAAAGACCTTAAGTTATGCTCCGGAAACTGTTTTCAGTTTTAAAGTAATAGTGACCTTGACCTTGTGACCCCAAAATCAATAGGGGTCTCCTACCCAATATGGACATTCATCCTATGAAGTTAGAACACTGGGCCACATGGAACTTAAGTTATGCTCCGGAAACTGTTTTCAGTTTTAAGGTAATAGTGACCATGAACTTTGACCTTGTGACCTCAAAATCAATAGGGGTCTTCTACCCAATATGGACAATCATCCTATGAAGTTTGAACACTGTGGGCCAAATGCAACTTAAGTTATGCTCCGGAAACTGTTTTTCAGTTTTAAGGTGATAGTGACCTTGACCTTTGACCTTGTGACCCCAAAATCAATAGGGGTCTTCTACCCAATATGGACAATCATCCTATGAAGTTTGAATGTTGTGGGCCAAATGAAAAAAAACTCAAGTTATGCTCCGGAAACTGTTTTCATTTTTAAGGTGATAGTGACCTTAACCTTTGACCTTGTGACCCCAAAATCAATAGGGGTCTTCTACCCAATATGGGCAATCATCCTATGAAGTTTGAATGTTGTGGGCCAAATGGAACTTAAGTTATGCTCCGGAAACCAAATTGCTAACGGACGGACGGACAGACGCCAGGGGGTATAACATAATATGCCCGAAATTCTTTTGGTCATATAAAAATGAATTAATATATTGATAATTCGGTTTCATATAAGGATATCTGGTTCCATACATGGCTACTTTGGTACAATATATTGAAGAATTTGAATCATATATTGAGAAAATTAACTTATATATTGCTAACTCGGTTTCATACACTTACGGTATGGTTTCATATATTGTAACTGTGGATTATTATAATAGATTCCGGTTAAATAAGAAGGTGTTTTCAAGTCATATATAGTCGAAGTGAACTTATATATTATCCAAATGGTTAAATAAATTGAAAAAGAACAATATCAGACAGCCATGGCTTTCCATACGAATGTATGTAATATTTTTCTTGTTATCATAGAAATTTATTGAAATTTATGAAATTCTTACTGAAGATGTCTAATTTTAATAAAAGAATGAATAACTATGTATGGGAAGCTGCATATCCTATTACATGCCAAGTAAAGTCTAAAGGTCTTTTCTATATATAAAAAAAAAACAGTTAGTTTTTTTAATGACACTATCATTATATTCATACTATGACCACATATAGTGTAAGAGTCTAAAGCTGCACACCTAGATGAGCCAAAATATTTCAAGAAATTCAATCCTTAGACAAATGTATTAATATCTATAATTTGAAGAAATGCCATGACCCTGGGGCATTTTAAAGCTTTACCTTAAATAGGGCCAATCAAATTAATATGAGCAAACTTGATAAAAGACAACCTAAGAATGCTACAGACAAAGTTTGGTGATCACCCATCAAATATTCCAGTAGGAGATGATGTTCAAAGGTTTTTATATTTTTAGCTTGAGCAGCCCCCAAAAGGGGCCTATCAAATTAATATGAGCAAACTTGATTAAAGACTACCTAAGAATGCTACAGACAAAGTTTGGTGATCATCCATCAAATATTCCAGTAGGAGATGATGTTCAAAGGTTTTTATATTTTTAGCTTGAGCAGCCCCAAAAAGGGGCCTATCAAATTAATATGAGCAAACTTGATAAAAGACTACCAAAGAATGCTACAGACAAAGTTTGGTGATTATATCCATTAGTTCTATAGAAGGAGATGTCTAAAGGTTTTTCTATCTTTAGCTCTAGAGACCCCTAAAATGGGTCAATCAAATTAACATGAGCAAACTTGATAAAAGATGACCCAAGAATGCTACAGACAAAGTTTGGTGATCATCCATCAATTAGTTCTATAGTAGATGTTTAAAGGTTTTTCTATTTTTAGCTCTAGAGACCCCTTAAATAGGTCAATCAAATTAACATGAGCAAACTTGATAAAAGACAACCCAAGAATGCTACAGACAAAGTTTGGTGATCATCCATCAAATATTCCAGTAGGAGATGATGTTCAAAGGTTTTTATATTTTTAGCTTGAGCAGCCCCCAAAAGGGGCCTATCAAATTAATATGAGCAAACTTGATAAAAGACTACCAAAGAATGCTACAGACAAAGTTTGGTGATTATATCCATTAGTTCTATAGAAGGAGATGTCTAAAGGTTTTTCTATCTTTAGCTCTAGAGACCCCTAAAATGGGTCAATCAAATTAACATGAGCAAACTTGATAAAAGATGACCCAAGAATGCTACAGACGAAGTTTGGTGATCATCCATCAATTAGTTCTATAGTAGATGTTTAAAGGTTTTTCTATTTTTAGCTCTGTTGACCCCTAAAAGGGGCCAATTGAAATGACATGAGCAAATTAAAGTGTGAGATGCTACAGACCAAATTTGAGGTAAATCTGCCCAGCAGTTTCAGAGGAGACGATGATTGTTGACGCCAGACGACGGAGTATCCCCCTTTGATATTAATAGCTCACCTTGAACCTTCGGTTCTGGTGTGCTGAAAAGAGAGAGCCATAAACATGTAAGACAATGCTGTAAAAGAATAATTTTGAAAGAATTTTTACAGTTTCCATGGTTTTTGACACTCCACCATGTCCCTCCTGTAGTTTCTTCAACAGTTTCTTGTCTTTAATTATTTCTACAGCATCTCCTTCCCTAAAACCTGCAACCTGAAATATACAAGAAGACAAACTTTGAAGTTATAGGACTCTAAAACCTGCTATCTGAAATATACAAGAAGACAAACTTTGAAGTTAAAGGACTCTAAAACCTGCAACCTGAAATATACAAGAAGACAAACTTTGAAGTTATAGGACTCTAAAACCTGCAACCTAAAATATACAAGAAGACAAACTTTGAAGTTATAGGACTCTTAAACCTGCAACCTGAAATATACAAGAAGACAAACTTTGCAGTTATAGGACTCTAAAACCTTCAGCCTGAAATATACAAGAAGACAAACTTTGAAGTTATAGGACCCTAAACCCTGCTACCTTATATAAACAAGAAGACAAAGTTTAAAGTTACAGGACTCTAAAACCTTCAACCTGAAATATACAAGAAGACAAACTTTGAAGTTATAGGACTCTAAAACCTGCAGCCTGAAATATACAAGAAGACAAACTTTGAAGTTATAGGACCCTAAACCCCGCTACCTGAAATATACAAGAAGACAAACTTTGAAGTTATAGGACTCTAAAACCTGCAACCTAAAATATACAAAAAGACAAACTTTGAAGTTATAGGACTCTAAAACCTGCTATCTGAAATATACAAGAAGACAAACCTTGCAGTTATAGGACTCTAAAACCTGCAGCCTGAAATATACAAGAAGACAAACTTTGAAGTTATAGGACTCTAAAACTGTAACCTGAAATATACAAGAAGACAAACTTTGAAGTTATAGGACTCTTAAACCTGCAACCTGAAATTAAGTTATTTGGCGGACAAGCTTTTTGAAGTCAAGGCCCCTGTGACCTTTGACCTGGTGACCTCAAAGTCAATAGGGGTCATCTAATAATCATGACTAACCTCAATGCCAAATATGAAGACTGTGGGTCAAAGGAATCTTAAGTTATTGGGCGGACAAGCTTTTTGAAGTCAAGGCCCCTGTGACCTTGACCTTTGACCTGATGACCTCAAAATCAATATGGGTCATCTACAAATCATGACTAACCTCCATGCCAAATATGAAGACTATGGGTCATAGGAATCTTAAGTTATTGGGCGGACAAGCTTTTTGAAGTCAAGGCCCCTGTGACCTTGACCTTTAACCTGGTGACCTCAAAGTCAATAGGGGTCATCTACTAAACATGACTAACCTCCATGCCAAATATGACAACTGTAGGTCAAAAGAATCTTAAGTTATTGGGCGGACAAGCTTTTCGAAGTCAAGGCCCCTGTGACCTTGACCTTTGACCTGGTGACCTCAAAATCAATAGGGGTCATCTACTAATCATGACTAACCTCCATGCCAAATATGACGACTGTAGGTCAAAGGAATCTTAAGTTATTGGGCGGACAAGCTTTTTGAAGTCAAGGCCCCTGTGACCTTGACCTTTAACCTGGTGACCTCAAAATCAATAGGGGTCATCTACTAATCATGACTAACCTCCATGCCAAATATGAAGACTGTAGGCCAAAGGAATCTTAAGTTATTGGGCGGACAAGCTTTATGAAGTCAAGGCCCCTGTGACCTTGACCTTTGACCTAGTGACCTCAAAATCAATAGGGGTCATCTACTAATCATGACTAACCTCCATGCCAAATATGAAGACTAAGGGTCAAAGATATCTTAAGTTATTGGGCGGACAAGAAAAAACCGACGGACGGCCGGACAGCCGGACGGACAAGCTGATTCCAGTATACCCCCCTTACAACTTTGTTGTGCGGGGGTATAATGAATCATTTCCTAGTAATTGCCAGTTATTCCTAATGAATCATTTCCCAGTAATTGCCAGCTTATTCTAACTGAATCATTTCACATTAATAGCTAGTTATTCAAAATGAATCTTTTCCCAGTAATTGCCAATTATTCAAAATATATCATTTCCCAGTAATTGCCAGTTATTCTGACTGAATCTTTTGCTAGTAATTGCCAGTTATTCCAACTGAATTATTTGCTAGTAATTGCCAATTATTCCAACTGAATCATTTCCCAGTAATTGTCACTAATCTTCCAACTGAATCATTTCCCAGTAATTGCCAGTTATTAAAAATGAATCATTTCTTAGTAATTGCCAGTTATTCTAACTGAATAATTTCCAAGTAATAGCCAGTTATTCAAAATGAATCATTTCCCAGTAATTGCCAGTTATTCCAAATGAATCATTTCGCTGTAATTGCCAGTTATTCTAACTGAATCATTTCCCATTAATAGCCAGTTATTCAAAATGAATCTTTTCCCAGTAATTGCCAATTATTCAAAATAAATCTTTTCCCAGTTATTGCCAGTTATTCTAACTGAATCATTTCCCATTTATAGCCAGTTATTCAAAATGAATCATTTCCCAGTAATTGCCAGTTATTCCAAATGAATCATTTCCCAGTAATTGCTAGTTAGTGTAACTGAATCATTAAGTAAGTTTGTAGATAGCTATAACCTTAAAAACACATTTTAAATCTATCAAAAACCAACCAGTACTGAGTAATGAGTGTAAAGTTTCTTAGAGCTTGCATCATTTATATAATTTGCAGTTGACTAAAACGTGGGCAATAACTCTGCAAGAGATAAATAAATATTTAGTCATAATGGTCACAGCATAGTTTTAACCCATCCTTTATGGTACAGCATGCAAAAAAAACAACATTTTATTTACACATCATGCTGTTTTAATAAAAATCAATATTTCTTTAGCCATATTTACCCGATACAATGCTGCTTTGGAAATAATATGAAAGTTGCCATCAGGGTACTGTACACGAGCCATGTCACCTCCAAACAGAAGCTCCACCACTGTGCCGAGCTCGTTCACACACTGTAAACAAAGAACAGTCAGGTATTCTAGTCAAAAATACTGCATAGATGTAAGTCATTGTACAGTGTATAAAGCTTACTAACAGAAATGCACCAGCTCATTGTTACACAAGTCTCCTATCTCAGGCAGTGCACGGGTATTTACTGGGCATACATCAGGTTTTTAAAAATCAGAAAGTCAAAGTCTTACTATTTTTTGTAGGGGGTGTGGGACATAATTATAGATGACTGGCACATATAGTAAAAATGTTCTTTATTCACAATTGGACTCATGGTAAGCTTAATTGCTTAACCTTGTTTGTTTGTTTCATTTTACGCCTTTTCCTAACAGAATTTCAGTCATATTTCCTAACCATCATTCCTGGAGAGTTACACCAGTACTAGACTACCTTTCTCCGTGCTAAACTACCAAAGCATCTACCGGGGATCCAACCCACGCCAGAGAGGTAACTGAATTAGAAGTCATCGACTTGAACCCCTCAACCACGGAGGCGGTTAATTGCTTAACCTATACCTGTCTTAATGTCAATTGTTGATTGCTCAGATTAAGTACTTTGACAAGCTCACCATGGGCAGTTTAAAAATTAAACAGCAATTTGGTAGAGAAGGGAAACATGTGACATTATATTTTTGTTTAATAAAATAAATGATAGTATATTAACTGCCTGTAAACAGAACATGTGGGGAGGTTATTTAAGTTGCATTTTGGAAATTGATGTCTTAAAATATGAAAAAGACATATAAGACTGTACAGATAACAAGAATTCATTAACTTCACCAATTGACCTTCTGCTACAATTATGAAGCACCTTCTGAATTTCCTTTAACTAAGCCACCAGATTTTACAATTCCACCCTATATACCTTTATATCGGAAAGAGTGTGGTTACTTAAAACAGCTCCCATAATTAGTTGACAAATCCAAATTTTCTTTGTAATGTAAACTCTTAATACAACACTAAATAGTAGTGTAGGAACACATTTTTTTTGTTTCTATACAACTGAACATTGCCATAATGCATAGACCCCTGACTATCTATCTATACTGTGCTCCTCTTAGTTCACGGTACGTAACAATTTGAAACATGAAATAAAATAACAAATGTAACTTATGGTTCAAAAATTATCACAAGCTGTAACATATACTTATTTTCTGCTGCATGACACAAGGAAACAACAATACATTTAGTCCAAATCAGTTTTAATGGGCCAGAAGTAGATCATATGTCGGCCATTTTGAAAACAGTATGTCATCATTTAAATCGCAGTAATGGTGTTACACTTCAGTTTTTTCATGTTTCAGTTAGGCAGCAAGGTTCCCTTTAAATCTATGACAATCACAATAAGGGCAATTTTTTTACAAGAATACTCTGAAAAGCTTCAAATGTCAAATAAATTCCTTCTCAATGATATGTTTTTGGAGCCATGATTAGGAGAGATTTTATTGACAATACCCCCCCCCCCCCCGGCCCCTCCCCCCCCCTCTCCCGTCCCACCCAAAAAAAAACCTATAAAATAAATAAATAAAACAACTAAAAAAAACTCAAAATTCCTTTGATCTGTTTATCAACAAACAACAAAATTTACTGGTCAAGTCACCAACTGCAGAACATAATTTGACGCTATTTCATAGACAACTGCTGATTTGATTAGCGATGCCAATCATGAGATGCCGCTAGCTTTTGTTTCATATTGTATATTAAGACCGATTATCCAGTGTATATCCAACAATCTGTATTTTCACACCGATTAGTGTCATATTTATCAGTTCATAAACATGTAAACATACCGCGAGGTCATTGTATTAGACTGTGTCACTGTTCATTTCAATTTTTCATTCAGATGGGAAGTTACAAATATAAACCAGTCAATGACCCACAAAAAGTAGACTGTGTCGCCGTGTTTGGAGATAAGAAGTGATAGTTCTAGATGGAAAACCAAATATGTACTTTTCCATTCTTAAAATAGAAAATGCTAAATTTAGACTGGAGATTCCAAAAGTCATACTTTTCGTAAGTTTGAGCCAATCGTGATTTTCTTGAGCCAATTTAATTATTTTGGAGCCAATTTGCTCATTTGCTCTTGCCAGCGCGAGCCCTGGGCTATAATTAAAGCCATCCGGGTAAACGTCATTTATTTATTGACTTTCGTACATTTCACTTATCTCACGTGTCAAATTTTTTCATTGTTACAAAGACGGAAAATAAACAATATTATCATAAGAAACAAATCGGGTATAACATCAGTCTCTATTTCTATATCAATTCACCTTAATTGCCTTTATCATGAGGTGTTAAAAACATGTGTCTCCGACTGTCACTCATTCAGAGCATGTCTACTGTCTTTTTGTGTTGGACCGAAAAGGTGTGATTTTCACTATGTTTCTGTCGAGGGGATCAGAGATCAGTTTCGAAAGTTCGAGCGATCCATGTTCGAGCTATCCACTTTAAATTCCCCCGATCATATTCTCATTATATCTTTAATGTATTAAGCAACTTTTGCTCAACGCGACCAACGACCGCTAATTAGTCAGCTAATTGAGATCAATCTTTTCATTAAACGACCACTTTTACCTGTCAAGTAATTGTGTTTTTAGAGTACATAACACCGCCTCGTAATGTCACAAGTGTCAACAATCAAAGCACAATATAAAAATGTGTGAAAATCTCTATTTCCCAAACCGTTTTAGCGTATGCAAATGAAGGTTAGTATACGTGTGACATGTATTATCCAATAATATCGATAAAAGAATGCAACGCCCCGCCCCTACTGAGATGGTGTATACGCTTAGCTGTTGATATTTAGACTGCATTAAATTGACCTTGAGCTTGATCAGCAATTAGATTAATCGTTACAATCAGATGTAGTTTGTTTATTTCAAATGAAAAATTCACAACAGAAAAAAGCTTCACCCATTAGGAGTTTCATGTTGAAGACAAGGAAATACAACGGAGAAGTTTAAAAATTCTGGAAAACTGTCAAACATGTACGTGTATGTGGATCAAAACTGTTTTGTCAATAAATACCAGAAAGTAAGCATCCATTTAGATTATCCGAGCGTTCTAATTATAAAACATTTATATAAATGAAGTTGAAAAACATTCCGTTGCAAAAGAAAGATGTCATGTATAAATTTTGACTTTTTATCATGCTTTGTCTCGTTTCATAAAGCGACCGTTTTGGGTGTTTCCCTTGCGCGGTCGCTTAATACAAGTTTGACTGTATAAGGAAAACCTTAGTCCTATGACCCCGGGGCAGGGCTAAATTTGACATTAGAGGCAAAATTTGAACAACTTTGGTAAACGACCTATAGATGATATCATATACAAAATATCAAAGCTCTAAGCCTGGTACCTTCAGACAAGAAGATATTTTAAGTATTTATTATATATACAGAGTGAAAATCAATGACTCCGGGGCCAGTCCACTTTTGCCTCCATGACTATAATTTGAACAATCTTGGTAGAGGTCTACCAGACAATGCCTTATGCAAAATATCTACCAGACAATGCCTTATGCAAAATATCTTAGCTCTAGGCCTTGTGGGTCTTTACAAGAAGATTTTTTAAATTTATTCTTATAATTCCTTTTGGTTGCCATGGCAATCAGATTTCTGCATGGAATGAAATTCTCTTGAACAACTTTGGAAGCCCTTCACCCAAGGATCAATCCTGCTGAGTTTGGTTGCAATTGACTAGTGGTTTTTTCACAATAAGACTTTTTAAGTTCACTATATAATCTATATAACACACACACACGCCCACACACACAGGCGAATCGCTATATGCCACCGCATCGCAGATGCTGCGGTGGCATAAAAACACTTTTGACCATTTTGTATAATTTAAAATATCAATACCCAGTATTATTATTGCTAATACCTGTTTCATTTCATCTTTCCAACCTCCAGGTATATTTCCATTTTTTCTGGGCATCTTGGAATTCTTTCAAACTCATGTTGACTGACACCTTGTCTCCAGGTTTGACCTTAATAATACCTGAAACAAATTGTAATGACATTTTATACATTGAATAATTATTTTTTCCCTTTCTTGCAGAGATTTAAATTTGTTGCAACTTTTATTTTTATGGTGAAGAAGCTACTATTTGACCTTCAATGTACATTGTTTATGCACAGATCAGCTCCTGCTTTAACTGGCACTCTGTTGAACTCTTTCTTATTTTTTTTTTATTTGCTCAAAAAGCTCAATAATGGATTCTACACATACTCCAAATATTTTGAAAAGAATAAAAATAAACAAGAGGGCCATGATGGCCCTGAGGTCGCTCACCTGTATATAGGCCCCCCAACCCCCACCCCCCGCCAACGTTGCAGGGCCAATTTAACCCAAGGGCTTTTATTTGCACAAACTTGGTAGACACCCATAAGAAGATGTTTCATCCTAAACATCTAAGCTCTAGCTCATTGGGCTTTTTAAAAGAAGATTTTTTTTTGTTTTTACTAAACACATATAGTTAACAAGAGCACCGCTAGGCGGAGCATTATATGCCCGAAAGTGTTTTTTTTAGTAAGGATGAAGCATTTGTAAGACATGGGAATTCGCTGTTCATCCTATAAAATTTTACAGCTGTAGGTTGATTAATACTTAAGTTATTAATAATGACCTTATCCTTTGACCTTGTGACCCCAAAATCTATAGGGGTCTCCTACCTTATATGGACAATCATCCTAAGAAGTTTGAATATTGTGGGCCAATTGGAACTTTAATTATGCTCTAGAAACTGTTTTCAGTATTAAGGTAAAAGTGACTTTGACCTTGTGACCCCAAAATCAATAGGGGTCTTCTACCCAATATGGACAATCATCCTATGAAGTTTGAATATTGTGGGCCAAATGGAACTTACGTTATGCTCCGGAAACTGTTTTTGGTTTTAAGGTAATTGTGACCTTGACCTTTGACCTTGTGACCCCAAAATCAATAGGGGTCTTTTGCCCAATATGGACAATCATCCTTTGAAGTTTGAATATTGTGGGCCAAATGGAACTTAAGTTATGCTCCAGAAACTGTTTTCAGTTTTAAGGATATAGTGACCTTGACCCATGACCTTTTGACCCCAAAATCAATAGGGGTCTTCTACCCAATATGGACAATCATCCTATGAAGTTTGAACACTGTGGGCCAGATGGAACTTAAGTTATGCTCTGGAAACTGTTTCCAGTATCAAGGTAATAGTGACCTTGACCTTTGACCTTGTAACCCCAAAATCAATAGGGGTCTTCTACCCAATATGGACAATCATCCTATGAAGTTTCAACATTGTGGGTCGAATGGAACTTAAGTTATGCTCCGGAAACTGTTTTCAGTTTTAAGGTCATAGTGACCTTGACCTTTGACCTTTTGACCCCAAAATCAATAGGGGTCTTCTACCCAATATGGACAATCATCCTATGAAGTTTGAACATTGTGGGCCAAATGGAACTTAAGTTATGCTCCGGAAACCAAATTGCTAACGGACGGACGGCCGTACAGACAGACAGACGGACGCCAGGGGGTATAACATAATATGCCCTTTCGGGCATATAAAAACAATGACACCCCTAGGGCCGGGCCAGTTTTGACCCCATGGCTTTTATTTGAACAAACTTTGTAGACACTTACTAGAAGATGTTTCATGCTTAATATCTAAACTCTAGCTCTTTGGGTTTTTTCAAAGAAGATTTTAAGTTTTTGCTATACACATATAAAGAAAATCAATGACCCCCAGGGCCGGGCCAATTTTGACCCCAGGTCTTTTATTTGAACAAACTTTGTAGACACTCACTTAAAGATGTTTCATGCTTAACATCTTAACTATACCTATTTGGGTTTTTTCAAAGAAGATTTTTTAAGTTTTTGCTATACACATATAAGGAAAATCAATGACCCCCGGGGCGGTGCCAATTTTGACCCCAGGGCTTTTATTTGAACAAACTTGGTAGACACCTATTAGAACATGTTTGATGCTAAATATCTTAGCCATAGCTCTTTGAGTTCTTTAAAAGAAGATTTTTTAAGTTTTTACTATATGCATATAGGGAAAATCAATGACCCCCCCCCCCCGGGCCGGGCCAATTTTGACCCCAGGGCTTTTATTTGAACAAACTTGGTAGACACTTATTGGAACATGTTTCATGCTAAATATCTTAGCTCTAACTCTTTTGGTTCTTTAAAAGAACATTTTTTAAGTTTTTACAATATGCATATAGGGAAAATCAATGACCCCCTGGGGCGGGACCAATTTTGACCCCAGGGCTTTTATTTGAACAAACTTGGTAGACACCTATTAGAACATGTTTGATGCTCAATATCTTAGCCATAGCTCTTTGAGTTCTTTAAAAGAAGATTTTTTAAGTTTTTACTATATGCATATAGGGAAAATCAATGACCCCCCCCCCCCCGGGGCGGGGCCAATTTTGACCCCAGGGCTTTTATTTGAACAAACTTGGTAGACACCCATTAGAACATGTTTCATGCTAAATATCTATCTTAGCTCTAGCTCTTTGGGTTCTTTAAAAGAAGATTTTTTAAGTTTTTACTATATGCATATAGGGAAAATCAATGACCCCACGGGGCGGGACCAATTTTAACCCCAGGGCTTTTATTTGAACAAACTTGGTAGACACTCACTAGAAGATGTTTCATGCCAAATATCTAAGCTCTAGCTCTTATGGTTTTTTAAATGAAGATATTTAAAGTTTTTTCTTTTGGTTGCCATGGCAACCAGAGTTCTGCATGGAATTAAATTCTTTGAACAATTTTTAAAGGTGACCACCAAAGGAACATTCCTGTGAAGTTTTGATGAAATTGGCTTAGTGGTTTATGAGGAGATGTCATTTAAAGTAAAAGTTTACGGACGGACGACGGACGGACGCCGGACGAAAAGCGATCACAAAAGCTCAAACTGGCAATTTGTGACAGGTGAGCTAAAAATAGTTGTGCTAGAGGGAGTTATTGACTTATTGTTGTAACTGTGTGAGCTCCTTCTTAAATTCCTGATTTTGAGCCGAAGACTGCTAATATTTTTTACTCAAATTGTATTAGTCATTATTCTTTAATATTGAGGGAACGAAAGATTTCCTATGATATGTAAATAGAAAACAATTAAACAGTTTCACCCAAATTATTATAAAAGTATTCTTACCTATGACAGGCATATGATCTACATAAACCTTGCCGCCTTTGCTGACCCTCGATGCAACAACGTCTACAAAACCTCCAACCCCGAACCTGTACTCCTTCACATCATGGCCTATCTCCCACTTGACACGTACATAGGCATTTGCAAGGCCATCTTTATCCTCAACAAATGCCATGACAATACCTTTTCCAGAATCACCTAAAAGTAGCAGGCATGTTTGCTCATTGTAAATTATACCTATATATTTTCTGTTGCAAAATAGCAGACAGTTTACTTAAAGGTCACATGTTTAGGACTGGGGTTGACAAAAATTCATTACAAACTCAATTTTTTAAGAAACAAGAGCTGTCACCTAAGTGACAAATGCCTCTGAAAAGGTGTCTTAAGCATGCAGGTATTATGAAAGAAAAGAGAATGAAAGTAACTAATTGCTGAATATTGTTCTTTGTATTATTGTACCTGTAAGCTCTAATTGTGTTAGCATAAACTTTCAAATATAAGTGTGACCTTGACCTTTGAGGAAGGGACGTGGTTCCTGGACGCGACAAAATGTTGTTATGAGATAGACATTTGTGCCAAATTATTTCAAAAGCCCTCAATGCATGACACAGTTACAGTCTTGACATGATTGTTGTGTAAGTGGGGACACTCGGACATGTGCCTCAGCCGCGACATATTGTCTTTATGTGGTAGACATTTGTGCCAAGTTATTTTAAAATCCTTCCATGCATGACAAAGTTACAGTCCGGACATAAATGTGTATCTTCAAACTCTTCTTAAGAGGGAATCATGGTAAATGGTATGTCAAGGTGTTACTTTTATCAGGTTTTTTGTTGTGAGTGGTATATCATGATGACTGGTTTATTATCATGGTAATTGGTATATCATGGTGATTGATATATCATGATGATTGGTTTATCATGGTGATTGGTATATCATGGTGATTGGTATATCATCGTGATTGGTATATCATGATGATTGGGCTATCATGGTGATTGGTATATCATGGTGATTGGTATATCATCGTGATTGGTATATCATGATGATTGGTTTGGTATATCATGGTGATTGGTTTATCATGGTAATTGGTATATCATGGTGATTGGTATATCATGATGATTGGTATATCATGGTGATTGGTTTATCATGGTGATTGGTATAGATGATTGGTATATCATGGTGATTGTTGAATTATGATGATTGGTTTACCATGGTGATTGTTATATCATAGTGATTGGTATATCATGGTGATTGGTATATCATGGTGAGTGGTATATCATGGTGATTGGTTTACCACTGTATTTGGTTTATCAAGGTGATTGGTATATCATGGTATCAGGTACAGTAAATTCTCTCTATTAAGACCACTAACGGGACTGACTCAAAGTGGTCTTAATAGTGAACTGGTCTTAATAGTGAATAAGTCACTTTAACAACTGACGAAGTCCAACTTAACTTAGTGTATACCTTGTATAGTTTTATGCACATAGTAAATGTACTTAATTAAATGAGATAAAAGAAACACATATTTTTTTAAAACAAAAATTTTAATGTATATCAATGATACATCATTAATGTAATGAAAATATTAATTTACGGCTAGTTTTTCAAGTTTCCCCTTTAGAAGAAATAATATGAGGTATTAAATATAGTTATGACTCTCATTACGATTTATACATTAATTACATATCGAAATAAAGCACACATGAACTGATATTTTGGTGTAATATATATACTTGCTATAAATTGTGATGCACAACAAACAATTTTTAATGCTATTCACCTGTTTATTACATCCTAATTACGCCGACACATTAATCGTTTCTCACACCATAGCTGCTTAGATTAATTAGCCAGAAGTGGTTTAAACTGATCATATTGACCCTTGAATGCTAAAGATACATCGTAAAGCAAGCGTCTAATCAATCGATATATATTAATGACCTTATTTGACCCGGTGTATTTGTTTACGACAGAGGGAAAATTACGACAATGAATGGGGGGGGGGGGGGCAATAAACACTGGCCATTATGTTGCATGGTCGTAATACAGGTTACTGTTTTGATAAGAAATCGCACAAATGTCTGACAGAAGTGGTACTTATGCCGGATTAGATAAATGGTCGGTATACTGGTCATTTTTCTCAATGAATAAAGAAGGCAAATATTTTGTACTTTTAAAATTGCCCGTAATAGTGGCGTGGTCCTATTTGTGGCGTGGTCGTTAGGTGGCATTTTACTGTATATCAGGGATAATGGTTTATCATGTTGAATAATGGTGATCAATTAGCATTATAGGCTTCAAAATGGCAATAACTACAACAAAATAGCATTATACAATGTATAGGACAAATAATTTGCATTCAAATGACATTATTTGTGTAAGAATGGCATTAATGTCATCAAACCAACCATCATGGGGAAACATTTGCCATGCCCAGGGGTTAGTCCTCTCTACGTACAGGCTAGCCACCACTTGTAGGTATATTAAATGGTGATACTCATACAGAAACCAGGAATATAAATAATAACTTATCATGTATAAGGCAAAATAATGAGCTTGAGATTTTTATTGTTTTGTACTTGAATCAAGATTAACTAAAGAGCTAAGGAAGAAGATGTAATGACTTTTTATTTTCCCCCTTTTCCCATCTCAAGAAAATTATAAGGATCGCTACTTTTCTGCTTTACTAGAGCAGGAAGACCTCAACTCTCCTTCTATGCAGTATTTAATATATGACAGGGCACCTGAATAGAAACCACCAACCTTTTATAACCTATTATGACAGCTTTCTAAATAGAAATGTTCAAGTTTTTCTGGTAAAATTTGAACCTAGTCATTCAAATCATTACAAGTAAGTGCCCCGTAATCACCTGGGCATTTTAAATTTTATGTGTAAATCTATGCCACTAATTCTACTCTAAACACTGAACATAAAGCAATAGTAGTAAATAGAGCTGACAACACACTTTACCATCAGTCCCAGTGTAATTCCAGTGTGGCCCTCGTATAACCTCTGACTTTGTAAACACACCCAGTAATTGTAATGATGGTGAATTCTTTCTAGGAGGCAAGTTTACCCTGGTAAAATAAACAAACAAAATACAAAAAAATAAGGTAATATTTCTTTTTTAAAAAACCAGTAATTTAGAAAAGTCCTTCATATCTTATTCCATAAAATAAGACTACAGATAACAAGTTAACTTAGAAAAGCATGAGAATATATGCCAAATTTTCTGACAAAATATCTGAAAATATCTCAAATATTTTGTTGGGAATTTAAGGAAGAACAGCCTTTCTCCAGCTACAATATAAGGTTGGCCTTTTCTCATCAGTGCTGACTCACTCCTTGTTAGAATTACAGTATGCAATTTTTGGTCACATGTCAAAATAGTATACAATATTTAAAGAATTACCATAACTAACAAATTTCAGTCAAACTTTAAAGAATTTCATGTTAAAAATATGGAGGTAAATTTCAAACAATTTCTCACATGACACAGCTTAAAAGGTTCATATATACAATGTGGGTGGTAAGATGTTAAGATGTTTTGTCTGAAAAAAAAGTATATCATAAATTATATAACCCTCAACCTGCTTATTTCTTAACTGGACTTGTCCAGCTTTCATTACAGATAAAAACATTCTTCAGTTTTCAGGGAAATACTGACAGAAATATTGACCAGTGCAGACCATGATCAGATGGCATTGGAAGAGATGGCTTGTCCTGGTCTACACTGGTTGCATGGTTGCTGCTAGCAAACTAATTATTAAGGAAAGTAAGACTGATGGTTCATAAATACATGTATGGCTAAAATATCTAAATACTTGTGACATTTGTTTCATCTCTTTGTTAATCACCAGTGATTAAAGAATTTCAGTCACATGATAATATTATACTGTATGTGTTTTTAAATTCGCGGAGGAAATTTTCGTGAAAAGGTCCACTTTGGGGGTCTATACAAATATTTGGGTCATTTTGAATTCGCGTAGGTGACTGCCGAAAGTCATAAATTGAGTCACTCAGGTTAAAAAATAAGGAAAATTACTGTAATCATCGTGGGAGTTCACAGTTATTTTCAATACCAGGTGTCAAACAATATGCTATTGTACAGAAAATAGACATTGTCTAGCAAAGAAAAGAATGCCGTTAACATGCCTAATTTTTCAAAAGTTTGCATTAGAAATATCTTGACATCTGTCAGATCAGATCATGTTTTGGTTTTTCTGAACAAACAATACAAAAAAACACAAACATAAACCAGGGCTCCTCCGGAAGGGCGATTCAGGCGAAAACTTCGCCGTGTATATTTCCATTTCGCTCTCCCAATTGATCAAAGAGAAGTCAACATCGCCGATAAAATCTTAATTCCCAAAGAGTAATTACTTGGCGATGTAAAGAGCAGAGATTGTATCCGCCCATATGACGATTGCTAATTATCATTATTCGATCAGAGCATCGCTTTATACTACCCTTCTACCTGTATGCAAAGCGATAGACCGCCTACTCTAAACAGTAAATAATGAGAGCATCGGCCCGAAACGTGACAGTTTTGCGAGTTAAATACGGGATTAGGCGATAGTTATAGAATGTTTTTTTGCCTCGATCATCTAAACACGTGCAAATCTTCCCTCTAAACACGTGCAAATCTTCCCTAATTGATAAACACGCGATTTCCAACTAGAACTATCGCTGAATGCGATTCATACCCCCACCAATGTCCTTGACAGAAGACAACTTGGAAAGGTGGTTAAGGAAATAACTTAAGTGACACAAATACATAAAAAGAAATTATCTCTGGTGAAAAAAAGACTAATTGTACAGGTAATAGTAAAAATATCTATTATCAAATCATGTTCGAAACAGTTACAAATAACCTTTCATTTTCCCAATATACTAAACTTTTTATAAGTCAATTTTTGACCTTCAAGTGTGGCCTTGACCTTCAGCTGGCACAAGGGTAAGATGGGTTCTGCACATCGCCCAATTGGAATGAACATTTGAGTAAAGTTTGAAGAAAATCCTTCCATTAGTATAGAATTTATAGAGCGGACACAACATATTGTCTAGTATTGATTGTATGTAAATTTAAAGACTTAAAAAGGGGCATAACTTTGTCAAAATCCAATACAGAGTTATGA